AATCTGGGCAAAATGGAAAGATCGGATTGCCAAGACGAGGAGTATATAAAGAGGAGGTCCAGGGCAGAAGTAGACACACGAAATTCAGAGCTCTCACCACCAAAACTAGCATTTAGGAATCTTTCCGTTTTTCTGTTAGCGAGCTGCGTCTCAATTAGGGTTTTCTAGTTCTTACGCTTTCGGCAATTCCTTTTGTACCCGTTCTACGCAGATTCGGAATAAGAACCTCCTTGCTTTCAATCTCTCTTATTTTCGTTTTCATTCTAAGTGTTTTAGTCATCTTAATCTTTGTTGTGCGGTTCTCGCAGATAGCCGGTTCCTCTAGAAACTTAGGGTTTTCCCGAAGTTTCCTTTTTTACGATTTATTTGACAGTAGGGTGAAATCGACTCCCACACAAGCACCCGACTGGAACCTTCCATTCGAGATAATGTGCGATGCGAGCGATTTCGCTGTAGGAGCAGTTTTAGGGCAACGAAAAGATAAGAAGCTACACGCCATCTATTATGCCAGTCGAACTCTTGACGTCGCTCAAAGAAACTATGGAACTACCGAAAAGGAACTACTTGCAGTTGTTTACGCTTTCGAAAAATTTCGTAACTATCTAGTGGGCTCAAAAGTCATAGTTCACACTGATCGTGCAGCCATTAAGTATCTTATGCAAAAGAAAGACGCGAAACCACGACTCATCCACTGGATACTCCTTCTCCAAGAATTCGATATGGAAATAAAAGATAAGAGGGGAGTAGACAATGGTGTCGCGGATCATCTTTCCCGCATACGAATAGACGAAGAAGTCCCTATTAATGATTTCATACCAACCGAAAACGTGTACTCAACCGATTCATCATTCATCGGTCAGATACAACTCTCCAACGAGTTTGCATCAACCGTTTATACTGGGAGTACTGATTCCGGAGACCTAACATCGATCGATGGACAATTAGAGAAATCGATCGATATGCGTGAGACTGCGTCGATCGATGGAGACTATGACATTGACTTACGCGATCTCACGTTTAAGATCAATATCGATACGACCGTAAATGTAGCATGCCGACCAATCACTGATAAACACAATATCCCTCCGAATGGAAATATTACGCACGACACGCACGCTGTCGAAAAGCAAATCGGCGAAAAACCTTGGTATGCAGACATAGTAAACTATCTCGCCGCAGACGTCGAACCTCAAGAGCTTAAACATTACGACAGAAAAAGGTTTTTCAGAGAAGTAAGAAGGTATCATTGGGACGAACCTTACCTTTACAAACGATGTGCCGATGGAATATTCCGACGATGCGTAGCTGAAACTGAGATTCCAGACATCATTTACCAATGCCATGGATCCGACTATGCTGAACATTTTGCAACCTTTAAAACGGTTTCAAAAATTCTCCAAGCTGGATTCTGGTGGCCTACGATGTTCCGCGATACTCAGGCCTATATTGCCAAGTGCGACAGATGCCAACGTGGCGGAAAAATCAGCAAGAGACATGAAATGGAACAAAAATTTATCCTTGAAGTAGAAGTCTTTAATTGCTGGGGTATAGACTTCATGGGACCTTTCCCTACTTCTTACGGGAACCGTTACATTCTGGTTGCTGTCGACTATGATTCGAAATGGGTTGAGGCGATCGCTTCACCCACTAACGATGCCTCTGTTGTTGTCAAACATTTCAAGAGCATCATTTTCCCAAGATTTGGAGTCCCTCGGGTAGTTATAAGCGATGGTGGAACTCATTTCATCAACAAAATCTTTGAGAATCTGCTCAAAAAGAACGGAGTTCACCATAGAGTGGCAACACCTTACCATCCGCAAACCAGTGGGCAAGTCGAAGTTTCTAACAGACAGATCAAAGCAATTTTAGAAAAGACTGTAGGAGCCACCAGAAAGGATTGGTCTAGGAAGTTAGATAATGCACTATGGGCTTATCGAACAGCTTTTAAAACACCGCTAGGAACGACTCCATTTCACTTACTCTACGGTAAATTTTGCCATTTACCAGTTGAGTTAGAGCATAAAGCAGCCTGGGCTACGAAATTACTGAATTTTGACATAAAGACAGCTGCGGAACGGAGACTCATCCAGCTAAATGAACTAGAAGAAATAAGGCATCTGGCCTATGAGAACTCCAAGTTATATAAAGAGAGAACCAAGGCTTATCATGACAAACACATTATTTAGAGGTTTTTGAGTATTAGAACTAAGCTTTGAACTATAAACTTGCGATTTGGATTGTTGAGATTCTTGCAGGTTTCGCGACTCCATATCGACCGATATCGTGCTTGCTCTGTCGATCGATACGTACATCTTAGCCGGAGCCAGAAGAACATGAAATCGACCGTTATCGATCGATATCAATAGACTTACATCGATCGATATCGGTGACCTTAACGGATGGCTGATTTCCGTTTTCTTTCCTACTTTTTGCAGAAGTCTACTCGAGCTGCACAAAAGGAGAGCCGAACCAAACGGAGGCTCGATAACCTTGGCGCCTCCAGCAGTCATCCTCCACCGTCTTCTTCCTCTTTTGAAAGGGAAGATGAGCGCGATCCTTGGCCACGTCGGGCTGGGGAACGGATTACAATCCACCAGCGTTTCAACAACCCGGAACGCACCGCTAAGAGTACCGAGTGCCTGCGTCGTCCTGTGAGTAAGGATTGGGACAACTACGACAGCCTGTTCTACAACGCATGGCTTACTGTGGAGATCGCCCCCACACGTTTCATCGACTCCGCCACTACCAGACGCCTAGGGATCGACAAGGATCTTGGCGAGATGCTCATCCAGCTTGGGTTTGGGACCCTTGGCTCCCAAGCCTATGACCTTCATCCTGATCTCGTCCGACAGTTCATGGCAACGGTTCGCTTTGAGTACAGAAACATCGATCGATATTCCCTTCAGGTTATCGGACGATAGCCCTAACCCGAAATCCAGTAGAGTTAATCCTTAACTTCCTTAAAGGTTTGAATCTAGAACTATGAATAATAAAGACCCTTTACAGTTTGCATGTATGTCATACCTGAGAAAATACCTAAGTTTAACTATTTTCTTCCTACTTAAACAAACCAATCAATCAATTAAGCATTTACTTGCTATCTTTTAAGTTACTGTTTAAAATCTTATTGTCTAGCTCTATATCGAAAACTTAATAATCTGTTGTGTAATCCTAGAGTCCTTGTGGATTCGATCGCTAAGTACTACGACTGAACCTCTTATTTGAGAGAGTAATTCACTCCTTAGGGTTAAACATTTGAGTGATATCAATTTGATTCACCATATCTCCATCCCTAGCCACGATCCAAGATCTCTGAGACTCTAGGTGGACATTGAAATTTTTGGAAAGTGCTTGCAAGTCGTGGAGTAAATCCAAATGCTTAGCATCGACAATTCGAACCTCATCTAGGATGGCTTCATCAATCCATTTAAATAGATCAGGTTCTGTTTTTTTCTGAGGACCGAACACAAGTCAACCAGTATATGAGGATAAAAGAGGTTTATATATAACAAAAATGAACTGAAAAATGAAAACCTGAAGAACAATTTTGCATCTGTAGAATCTCTGGTATGGGTTCTCCTTGGTGTCAAAGACCCAAGTATCAAGGCCTTGGCCACACCAAAGTTTTGAAAGGACGTCGTAGACGGGTCTCCATGGTCCAGACTGGGAGGAGGAGGAGAAGGTCATCGAAATTTGGTGTTTTGGTTTTTAAGGTGAAGCCCAAATTTCGAGTGCAAACCCTAGTCGAGAAACCCCCAAATCGATTTTGTACATATTACGATTTCTGAATCTGGCTAGGTGTTATGATTTTATAAACATAACCAGCTGGTTTACCGGGTGTGTGTGGTTCCCAGGTGGAATGCGGTTAATGGTGGTGGTGTGGTTAACTTCCCGAACATGATCACAAATTTATAAAATTAAATCAAAATGTCAACCGGTCATGGTCGTTGACTGGATATGGCGTGGTCAGGTTTCAGAGCACGTCCATATATTTTGTTTATGCTACAAAATATTTAATGCAGCTTCCGAAATACGTGCATTAATTTTTAAATTCATTCGCTAGTTTTTAAATTTATTAATACTAAAAAGCAGACTAAACAAGTGTCCATATAGTGTGGACAGGTTCAAAGACAATTACTATGCACCGGTCATGGACAGGTATATATAAAGATGCATAGGATAATCATCTGTGGTCATCGATGGTATCCTGACCTGTGGTCATGGACGATATCCCGACCCCTTCGGAAACCAGAGTTTGGTGATGAACTGGTAGTGGATTGTAACTGTCTGCCCCTGGTTGACATTTGGATATGAGCATAGTATGAAGCAGAAGCCATAAATTGGAGTGGAGCCATTCCCGACAATCACTATGTATAAACTAGTTTCCTGACGAGGCCCATAATTTTTCGTGCATGCAGTGTGGGCAGGTTCTGAGAAAGTTACGATGCGACAATCGTGGACGGGATTGTAAATAGTTTGACACGGAAACAGCCCCAAACGATGGGCGAGGAAACACACCTCCATCATAGTTGGAAATGAGCATGGTATGAAGCAGAAACTAAAATTGGCGTTAGTAGCTTCCCAAAGACGGACATGTATTTTTAAAAAATTTTAAGTTTGTTAGCTAGTTTTATATTATTGTTTTGATTTCGATGTCTGTTTGTGAATGGTGTTGTTAGGTGATTAGATATTTAGAAAAAGAACAAGCTGGTTAACCGGGGGTGTGGTTACCCATGCAGTTTAAAATATAATTTGTACAAATTATAAAATGAAATTAAAATGTCAACCGGTCATGGTCGTTGACTGGATATGGTAGTGGGCGGCTTTTCGAGCACGCCCATAGATTTTGACGTCCCTACAAAAATTTTAATGCAGCTTCCCAAATACGGGCATGTAATTTTAAGTTCGCTTGGTAGATTTTAACTTTTCCAATATTAAAAAGCAGACAAAACAAGTGTGCATATGCTGTGGACAGGTTCTGAAACAATTACTATGCAACGGTCATGGACGGGTACATATAGATGCATAGGATAACCCGTCCGTGGTCACCGACGGTATCCCGACCCGGTGGTCGTGGACAGTATACCGACCCTTTCGGAAACAAGAGTTTGGTGATGAACTGGTTGGGATTGTAAATAGTATGAACAATATGATGCATACCCTATCCTTGGCCGTGGGTGGATTTCTGCCCCCACTGGACATTTGGAACAAAAGCCGAAAATGGGAGTGGACAGATTCCCAAATATCACTATGAATAAACATGTTGGGATTATACTATACTATGAATCATAGTATAAATTATAAAGAATAAATGGTGTGTTCAGTGTCCCAACCATGCCCTTTTGTTTTTGGTGTAGACGGTGTGGAAAATTTCTAAGACAAATACGATGTAATGATCGCTGAAGGGATTGTAAATAGTTGGACCAGAAACACAGCCAAACCATGGCCGCAAGAGCATGGTATGAAACAAAAACTGAAGTTGGCTTTAGGAGCTTCCCGAACCGACCACTTATTTTCTGATTTTTAAAGTCTGTTAGGTAAATTTTTATTTTCTGACCATGTATTTTGTAGTCCTTAAGGCTACTTTTACTTTACCATTACAATGCGTCAATCAGATCGGATGAAATCATATAAATTAAGTGAATACACATGGTGGATACTGCAATTTTGAATATAACACACATGAGTCTAAAACTAAAGGAAGTAGATAAGTTTAAAATATTACAAAGGGGGGGATCTACACCCCTATTAAACCACACATGAGTCAATAGAAAGTAACAAAGAGTGTTAAGCGCCACCAAAAAAAGCTGAGTTTTTAAGAGATTGAAGTCGACAATGTAAATTATCAGGCCATAGGTGGAGCATAGTAAGAAGGCATAACGATGGTCTTGTATATGTCAAGAGCTTACTGCTTGCAAAGTTCATCATTTGTGGTGTATTTGAAGCTGGACATCTTGCATATCATATCCCCGTGGGCGTGCATTTCCAAGAACTTGACTACAACAGGCCCTCAGTCACCGGATCTTTCGTTGATGTAGAGGTCAGGGATACAAAACCATGCAAAAGGTGTTAGCCCACGGATCTGAGTAAGGTCGTAATTAGCCACCTACTTACCAAAGTAGGGTAATGCCTTCAAGACCGGAGCCATTAAACGAGCAAACAACACTGTCTTTGTAGAAGGTTGGCAGTGGGTCTAAGATTTCAACACAACCTAAATCAAGGTTTATCGCTAGACCAACCCAGTGTTTGTTTTCCCATATCAAAGGTGTGTAGACAGTGATCACATCTTCCATCCATTTCCTGCCTTGATGGAAAACGAGTTTAGTGAGTTGGTCGCCCCAGTCGAAACTTTCTTTCCTCTTTGAAGCGGTGAAATTTTTGGATATGTCCTTGATTCCAAATGCAATGGAAGCTGGAGGGAAGGCAATTTTGTGATCCTGGAGAAGACGACTATGCCTTCCAGCTAGCATGTACATGAGTATTTCCATGTGCTGGACAGATTGATATTAGTAAGCAAAAGAAGGTAATAAAAATGCAAGGGAATCGTATTTTGGAGTGGGGGGACGGGAATGTACATAAGTTATTGTCCAGTGCTTAGGCTGTTTTAGTTGGAGTAGGAAGTTGTTGGTAAACTCAAAGTAAGAAGGTGTTATGTGGAACATGTTGGGAAAATGTGTGAAGGTTGGGTTTTATCAACCACAAACCATAAGGCTGTGTACATGTTCCACAGGATTTTGACAATATCAACTCTGACTTTTTCAATCAAAAAACATAATCAGAGTATATTTGGACTTAAACAGTCTTGTTGTTGGAAATAAACCTTTCGAAAATATCCAATTAAATCATTCAATTTGAGGTAGTGGGCTGATAAGGTCAACGGCTGGTATGGTTTTACAGCATGATAGTTGGTATGCAAGTTGGTTTTCCTCACGTGAAGGTTGATGCATGGGCCTTGGTCTATTAGGGGAGCCATTGCTCAGTTCCACAATTTTAGTGTATTCAGATTGTTGAGCTTAGTGGGAAAACACAAGCATCAAATTTGAAACAATTTGAAATATAAGATGCAGGGAAAACTTATACAAAACTTGGGGGAAAAAAAGATTGTTAGAATGTGCAGTCCAATAAAATGCAGAAGGGGCTGTTACTACCATACCTGGATGTTGGGGAGAACAAAGTTGGCACCAGTTAGAGGATTGGATGTAGTGGTCGCTGAAAATGCGTGGGTTGTTCTTTCATGACCTAGGAAACCCGACAGACTCTCTGAACTTTTGTTAGGAGAAGTGTCGGTGTGAAAGGGAGTAGTCTACGCTAAGCTTGATTTTTTGAGGAGTCGAATTTTGGATGAGTAAGAAAAGGTGGGTCAGGGATGATTATTTTCAAAAATCTCAGCACCTTGGAACAGAAGGTGGTGGAATGGGGGGGAGGCTGTTAGGGTGATCACTAGAATCGTATATCGAGTGCGCAAAGAAGGGCCAATAGTTTGATTTGGCTTGATGGGCTTCCCGTATATATGGGTGTGTGAAAAAAGGGGTTAGCTACTGGAGAGGGGATGTGGATGAATGAAGAGACGTGGAAGGGTGATGTGTGTACGTGAGAAGTGTGTACGGGTGAGGTGTGGCTAGGTCAGGTGTCTACGGGTAAATCGTGAGAGGGTTGGTCGTCTACAGGATGTGGAGGTAGCTCTAGAGTGTTTACAAGTGGTGACTTGGCGGGGGTGCAGTTGAGGAAGTTGGGCCAAATTTTTGTGCATCATATTGGCTGACAACATGGGAGTTGCTCAAAGGGTCGTCATCTTCCTCCACAGGCACTGCGACCTGCAAGAAGTATTGGAACACAATGAGATAAACGAAATGTTACAATAACTTTCATCATTAAAACATCAGCAGTATAAGATATAAAAGTTAGAAAACTTACAATCTGGTTAGATAAATCATGAGAAGTTTGAATTAGAGGTTCGGTCTGACATCCCATGTCTGAAGTTTGATGCATAAGTTCAGTCTGACATCATGTATGTGATTTGTGGCCTTTCTTTGTCTGAGCAAGTAGAGAGTGGAAGGAATAGCGCTTTATGGTAGTAAGAGCCTTTTTGCGTTTGATCAATAACCGCAACTTCTTTGACTGTTTTTCAAGGTTTGAGAGTTTGGCTGACATTTTAGACAGTATTTCCAGTACTTCATCTTTTGAGTTGCCGGCTGAACCAACTGGAGGAAAATAGTTACTGATTCTTCTCTGCTTATGGGACGAGGAAACCTTCCTTGAAGACTTTTTTGGTTTCTGAGTTTGGCTTGAAGACTTTCTTGGTTTCCGAGCTTTACTTGAAGATGATTTACACTTAAGAGATCTTTCCCGAATGGCAGGTTTAGCCACAACGCTTGGGAGGATGGTGATGTGCTCAGAAGTGTCTCCACCCGGCCAAATGTGCTTATCGAATGGATGATGATCAGATATAAGTTTCTCCATGTATAACACGCTATCATCATCACAAACATCAGGCCAAACTTCCCATTCAAGTTGTGGTTTTCTCTCTATTAGTATCAACAATGTAACAGCAAGCTGCAATAGGACAATAACATATGCCAAAAATTTGAAACATCATTTATAATGCAATGGAAAAAAGGACCATGAAAGAATGGGAATTCTAACATTTGGATCAGCTTCCACACATAGTATATCAATGCGGTTAGGTGTTGGGTAAACAGGAAGATGATCTTCGTCAAGATCCATGATTGAAAAAGGGCCAACAGAAAGTCGAATCGTTGACTGCAAGTTTGGAATTGCCTGATAAGCGAGAAGTTGTAGTGCAAGGGAGAATCCCTTTAGTCTGAAAGGTTATTGCTTTAGCAGCTTAACAGTGTTGCAACTTCGGAGGTTTCATGCAAGTAATAGTCTTCAGAAACGACTCTGTACCCCAAGGGTGTAATCAGAAGGCATCAACGTCTTGGACCATTTTAACATACTTGAGAGTTGGCCATGGATTTTGTTGATGAGCGATGAGGACACCATCAACAATAATTAATAAAGCAAGTCGAAGATTATTCAACCTGATATGTTTTTGTCAGTCTTTAGCTTGTGATGTAAATCGGCAATGGTGGTGAACTTCATCAACCCATTCAGCTTAATTCAATCCGGATTTGTATGATTTACTCTGGTCCTCCCAATCAGTTTTATATTTTACATGGAAAGATCCACACGGAAAGCCAGTGATAGTGCCAAAAGAGCATCCACAACCTGTGGGTAAAGTAAGGATACAACCTGCTTGATTTTCATGGATACAACTTAGTGACCAAAAGTCCAAAGGTAAATAGTAACTTGCTTTTTTTAACTTCAAGCTAGAGGTAACGACTTGAAAATTTTGCTTTTTTCAGCTTCAAGCAACGTAAAGCAGAAAAAGTTGCTCCATATCCATGTCTAGTGACCATCCGTAGAAAATTTTCCTCGCATCCACATTTGGGTCGATTAGTAGCTTGCTTTTTTTAAGCTAAACATCCACAACATGTGGGTAAGATCCTCTCCACCATGTTCCAGTGATGAACCTTGGGTGTTTGCATGTGTTGGCTCACTTGATTCACAGAAAAACACACATCTAGTCAAGTGATGGTCAAGTAAATCAACTTCCCAGCCATTCTTCTATACTTCTTGACATCTTCAAATGGAGTATCATTATACTCCCCCTCACGCAATACCTTGTAGCCTTCTTCCGATGGTGTCTTGGCTTTCTATCCTACAAGGTCTCCTGCCTCCTTTAGAATGTCCATAGTATACTTTCATTGAGATAAGAACAATCCTTCGTTTGATCGACACATATCAATCCTTTTAATTCTCCTAGGTCCTTCATTTCAGGAAGGCTGAGATGATTCCTTCCTGGTCAAAACTACCAGAGATGATGATATCATTCACATACACTAGGATCACAACAATTCCTTGCTTTCTGGTGAGGGTAAAGAGTGTATAATCGGCTTAAGACTTCACAAACCTCTCCCATTGATTGATGTTCTTAGCTTGTGGTACCAGGCTCTTGTTGCTTGTTTCAAGCCATATATTGCCTTCTTCAGCCTGAGTACATTCTTTGGTTTGACCATATCTTCCATACCAGGGGGTGGTCTCATGTATACTGTGGGAATCGAAATTCACCTACTGTCTAGATTACGTAAATAAGGGAATTTAGAGTAAACCCTAATTTCCCAGAGGACCCGGCTATATGCGGAACCGCACAAGAACAATCAAGAACACGACAAGTATGAAAAAGATGTAAAGAAAACCGAGATTGAGAGCAAAAGGATTCTTATTCTGAATTCGCGTAAAAACGGTACAACAAGAATAAGCCTTAGCTGCGTGAGCCGTCAGCGAGATTCCTAACCCTAGCAGTCTAAGACTAAAACTCTAGTTGAGACGCAGCTCGATAACGAAAACGAAAGTATTCATAAATGCTAAGTTTCTGGTGGTGAAAGCTCTGAAAACTCGTCCTCTGCTTCTGTCCTCTGCCTCTTGTTTATATACTCCCTTCCTAGGTGGTTTAGTCCTTCCATTTCGTTAAGATTCGAGTTTATCGAGAATCTTCCATTTATCTTTATCTTTCCTTTTTTCCCGCGGAAATCTTCTATTTATCCTCATACTTGACATTTATCTTCAAATTTAACATTTATCTTTTTCTGCGAGTAAATCGTTAAAAAGTTCCCGTATCTTTGGGCTAGACTTCGTAAAAGTCGCGAGATAGGCTTTTATCGCGTTTTAGGAATTTTCGAGCCATTTTGCGATAAACCGTTTTACGACTTTATCCGAGATCGTTTCCTGATGTGATGCCGTTTCTCGAATTAATCGCAAAGTTTGGCAATGTTCGATGTTTCGATTAATCGTTACCGTTTTCTACGATTTACTCAAGATTTTATTAAAAACGCGTTTTTACGCTTTTTATGAAAAATCTCGAGTAAATCTTATAGTTAGGCGATGTTTTTTGTTTCGTTTAACCGTTGCCATTTTATACGATTTCCTTGAGTTCTTTCGATAAAACAAGACTTTACGGTTTTTATCGTAAAACTTGAACGATAGGACAGATCGAGACAAAACAAGAGACGTTTCAACCATGGTTCAAAACACGATCGAGCCAAAGGACATATGCCTTTAGTCGAGGACGTGGGAGGTTGAGACACGGGATAGTCAGCTTGACGTACGGCGAGCCGAACCGGGTTGGTACAGCTTGCCGTACGGCGAGCTGTTCGTGAAGTGAACAGCTCGCGCCGTACAGCGAGCTGGTCCGGGACGACCAGTTCGCCGTACGGCGAGCTGAACCGGTTGGTTTGGCTCATCGTACGTTGAACTTAGTTTGGTCGAACCTGCTCGCGGTTTACGGCGGATGCGGTTTTTTCGCTGTTTTGTTCTTAACCCGGACAATCGTGTAAATGGCGTTTGTTTCGTTCGTTCTTCTGAGATGACGATATTCAATTTTTCCGCGAATTTCCTTTGTTCGGAAATTTCTTAGAATTTTATAAAACGGCTTCTCGAGTTTTATAAAACATATTTTTTATTTTTGTGGAAATTTTTGGTCATTGATTCCGTCGTACCGATTTTGACCCCAACAGTTAGCCCCCCCCAGCTCGTAAGAATCGTAGAGTTCTTGCGAGCGGTTTGAACTTGTTTGGCAAGTTTAGTAGAATTAGGCGGAACTTAGTGACCAAAAGTCCAAAGGTGAATAGTAAAACTTTTCCTTATAAGTGTATGGAGCAAGTTTTCAAGTTCTTTACTCACTTCCTTCCAAAATTTATCTAAAGTTCATGGATACAACTTTTCAAGTCGTTGTATGGATATCCATGTCTAGTGACCAGAAATTGACTTTCAAGTCCTTGTATGGATACACATGTGGATGCGAGGAAAAAAATTTTTGAAGGATTGGGATGATCAACAATATGGGTCGATTAAAGACCATGGTGGATTGATGATGACTTGGAATATGTTTGTTTTACAAAAATTTCTAGGAACGAGTCGGTTTTAAGACGACGTCAGTATCTCTAGTTTCTTCTTTCTTTAGGAAATGAGATGAGTACGCTCAAATGTGTGGCGATCGTTTCTCGGTTGTACGAGAGAATGGATCGGTTTGCGAGTTATGCATGAATAGTTAGAGAACAATAGATCGAGATAGAGAAAAATTGCCTACGACTTAACCTGCTAGACTATCCACTAAATTCTAAGTTCCCTAAGTTTTACGGCAGTTTAAAGACGTTTTCATTCCTTGCCTACGAAAAACTAGAAGTCTAGTAAAATTTTCAAATCAGACATACCTTAGTTTCATCGATGATTTGGGACTGTCTCTTCTTCGTTCTTTGACTTATTTTCGTATGAATCGGTCTTCGACAAAATACCAACAAGAACATCGGGCTGAGAAAGGGATTTCAACATTGGAGTTTATGTTTATGTTTTTTCGTACTACTGACTAGGTGTGCTTCGTATATTGTCGAAAAATCCATCACACGTTTATCATTAGATGTTTTCGACTTAACGTGGCAGAATTTCGTAAAATCGGATTGCGTTTAGATGTTTCAAATCTCTCGTGTAGTTTAGCAACTTTGGTGTCGAGTCAAACGTTATCATTTTAGACGATTTATTCAAACTTCTACGAGGAATCAAGTCTTTGTGGTTAAAGTTCTGATGGTTACTCTGATTGGGACGAAACAAAAAGTGTTTCGATCGGGATTCAAGATAGAAACGTTTCGATCCGTTAAGCTTGTCCAACTCACCCACTGGCAAGTCAGCGAGTACAGTCCCGATTTGTCAAGCCGACTTGTTTTCGTCGTAAAATCTCAATGTAAACTCCGATTGAGACAAAACGAAAAGTAGTGGGATTATTTTTTGGAGTACGATCAGGCTCACCATGGTTGTGATTTGGATTGTGCGGACCCTTGGAGCAAAGTCAGTGCCTCGAAAGCGAGGAGAAAAGCCGATCAACTTGCCAAGACGACGAGCTGCTTTAGCACGGCCAGCTTGCCATCTGGCGAGCTGGTTTGAACGGTCCAGCTCGCCAACAGGCGAGCTGGATGGTAAGGACCCTCAGGGCAAAGTCAGTGCCTCGAGGGCGAGGTGCAAGTCCGATCATCTTGCCAAGAGGCGAGCTGATTGAGCTCGGCCAGCTCGCCAATAGACGAGCTGGATGGTAAAGACCCTCGGGGCAAAGTCAGTGCCTCGAGTGTGAGGAAAAAGGCCGACCAGTTCGCCGAGGTGGCGAGCTGGGTTGCATGGCCAACTCACCGTCTTTGCGAGCAGGATAGTATCGTCCAACTCGCCGTATTGGCGGGCTGGACGGTACGGCCAACTCTGCGAGCAGCCTAAGATTTTTTTCCGAGTAACTTAAGGTTTATTCCGCGGTTTCTGGGAGAGCAAGTTTTATTTTCCGAAAAGATCTCGAAAAACGTCTCTCGGTCAACCCATACGTAATGAGATTTGTCCGACTCGGAAATAAGAGAAACATTACGAGGTTTGATAGATTTTATCGTTGCCCTTAGCGATCAGAGAGAGAAATCGCGAGCTCTTTTTGTTGCTCCTCCCGTGGCGAAAAGTTGCGATTGAGTTTTCGATTTTCGTTTAGTACTACAACGTGAGTGTTGGCTGTAGGAGTAGTCGCTGCTGGAGTTTTTTTACCAGCGTTTTTGCGAGCTGCGACTTTGTCTTTCATATATCCAGACATCGTTTTGATAAAGCGTTTTGCGGCTATGAGTTAGAGTAATCCTACCCCCCCC